GATGCCAGAAGACACTAAAATCAGACTCAGATGTTACAGGCAGAAGAAACAGTAAAATGAGAAATGAAGGTGGCTGTTAGGTTAGCTTGAGGGGGAGGAAAAGTTTGCACACAAAAATGAAAACTGACTGAGGAGTTTGGCCTTTATCCTCAGTCTAACCAGAAGCCCCTGGAGGCTCCCAGAGCAGAGGAAGGAGGAGGAAAGCCACGCATCAGGACCGGAAATCTCAGGACAAAGGGCGAGGGAAGGAGCACAGTAAGAAAACCTGATAGGCCAAGGAAACTAAAGGGTGTTAGAAGATTCCAGCTTGGACGGGAGGCAGTCCAAGTGGGAGTGAGAGAGAACCATGAGCAGACATCTCCCAGAGCACTTCCCTGATTTCTGCCGGCTTACAAGTGAACATCATCACCGATGTCATGCATTCAGCATTTATTGAGCACCTACTGTGTGCCACATACTATTTATTCTAGGTGCTGGGAATACAGCAGGGAATGAAAGAAAAACCCCTGGCCTTAAAGAGCTGACATTCTAACAAGGAGAGACAGAAAACGAATAACAAATGTAATAAGCACATTCTTTAGTAAGAAAAAAGGTTAAGTAGTATTGGGTGAAAGGCACAGGACAAGGAGGAGGACGCAGCTTTAAACAGAAGGTCAGGAAGGGTCTCCTTGAGAAAGTGAATGCGAGCAGACACTTGAAGGAGGTAAGGAAGAGAGGCCTGCAGACCACTGGGACAGCATGATCTTCCTCCTCCCTGCAAACCACTGGGAGTGCACGATCGTCATCCGCTCCTTCGTGCAGTTACTGATCATGCTGTAGCCATAACTTCGTTCCTTCAGTAGTTCATCCAGCAAAAGGGAACGAGGCATCGTTTCCTGATCCCAGTCATTTAAAAGAGAGCGGGGACAGAGCTTTACTTATTCACTGTATCGCCGATGTCCAGCAGTGAGTACTCAATAAATATATGTGGAATCAATTAATTCACCTAATATCAATAACAATTTATGAGAACCAGACACCCCCCATAACTTCCCTATAAGGACTCAACTTGAGGCAGTTAGTCATATAAACAATAGATTGGAGGCTTTTTTAAGACGTGAAGGTACCACTCACAACATGATCAGAACATGATTTCATTTTTGCAATTTTCCTTCCAGCCCTTCTGTCTGCATAACTGACCGTGGGTATGATTTAGTGTTTTGTAATCACAAACGTACGATTTTGAGATTCGGTTTTTGCTACTTATCATATCGTAGGCATTTTTCTCCGGCACTTCATAGTCTTGATCACTGAAAATAGATGCATAGGGTCATTTATTTTCAGACTGCCAGCTAAAGCAGTGTTGCTTCCAATGTCCCTGATTTATAGCGCCTCAGCTAGCAAGTGGGCTCCATAGCTCAGTGGTTAGAGCACTGGTCTTGTAAACCAGGGGTCGCGAGTTCGATCCTCGCTGGGGCCTCTCGTTTGCTCGCCTTTTTTTTTTTAAAATCATCCCGTCTAAATACGGAATAGAGACGCCAAAGTGGAAAATGATTTCTGAAAATGTTCCTTAAGGCAGTCTTAAAGATTACTCCTCCCGCAATGCAAATGATGGGCATCCTTAATGTGCTTTAGAAGTGACCCGAAAGAGAAAATGCTGGAACGCAACAAACAGGAGGAAAAAGAAAGAAAGGAAAGCCGTCCTAGGCGACCCCAGCGCTCCCTGGACCTGCGGGCACCGGAAAGGGAGGCGCGAGGCTCCACGGGCTCGTTTGCAACGCCCTGCAAACAGAGACCCAGCGCTGAATCACGCCAAGTGGACGCGCGGCAACTGGACCGCGGGCGGAGCTGGCGGCCGAGGGGAGGCGCGCGCCTGCAGTGACGCCGCGCGGCCGGCGGGAGGCGCTGTGACACCGGCTCCCGCTCGCCTCCCCCGAGGCCGGCGGGTGCGCGTCCCCGCGCTCTTCCCGGGCCCCGAGCGTGGCCAGCGTTGCCTGGAGCCGAGCCCGCGCTGCGGCTGCCACGTGGCAGCCGGGGCCTCAGAGCCCAGCCAGGCTCCAAGGGCCTGCCCCCTCCAGAGGGAGGGAGAGCCACTCCCAAAAATCAACAGTGGGACGCCAGTGTTTGCAGCCGTTCTCATTTCTCCGCTTTTTCCGTGAATTCCAGAAAGCCTCGTGACTACAGTACAGAGTCACGAGAGTCCTGTCTGAATGCATGAATTTTCCCCACCCAGCATTTCTTTTCCCGTATCCCAGGGCTAGAGCTTGTTGAAGGACTCTCTGTAAAATAGCCACTAGCCACCTGTGGCCGTTGAGGGCCTGAAATGTGACTAATCCAGACTGAGGTGTGCTGAAAGAGTAATATATACATTAGATTTACATAATTTGGTCTCAATAAAAGAATGTAAACTATCCCATGAGTAGTTTTTTAATTGATTACATGTTGAAATGATAATATGGAAGCTATGGTGGATTAAGTAAAATATATAATGACATTAATTTTACATACTTTTTAATGTGGCCACTGGAAAATCTTAAATTACATCTGTGGCTCCCATTTGCAGCTCTCATATTTCTGTTGGATGGTGCAGGTTTAGCGACCTAGAGTCCTGTGACCTAGAGTTCAAGATAATTTTTAACCTGTGCTCACACCAGGTAAACTGATGGGCAGAGAGAGTCTCGTTTATCTCTGGGTCTCCCAGAGCACACGCTGTGCCTGGCAGCCGTAAGCATGGCATAGGTTGAGATGGAATTAAATATCTCCCCAACAGAGTCTTAAACTCCACAAAGAGCAAAAGAATGTATTTCTTCAACTGAGTTAGCTTTGGGAGTGATGCTACTGTAAGACTTTCTATCTTGGCTCACAAGGTTTTAGCTCTGGAAAAAGACACATACTTTTGTGGGTTATTCTGCCCTTCTGTGCTCGGGATATTTGCTACTAGGAATGCTGGGGAAGTGAAGTGTTCAGAGTGCTTTGAGGAAATAAGCCCCACTGATGCAAGAAAATTATCTATAATTATCACATAAGGGTCAGCACTTCATTGACACCGAATGCCTTTTTGCCAAGTCATTTCAGTTCCTCCAATACCTTAATACCAAGACTACTTACTCTGGGTTACTTGGTCATCAAGTAATAGTAAGAAAAAGATGCCTTTGAAGCATTCAGTCCCATGTCCCTCCAGCCATTACCAGCCCTGGTCCTTCCTCCCTCTTCCCCCTCATCCAGCCAGTCTCTAAAAAGAGCAAGCATGTGCATGTGTGTGCTTTGCTGAACTTTTCAACACCCTAGGCTCTAAGGAAGCGGAATACATTTTGGCTATGACCTAGTGATTGTTTCTCACAGTCCTAGCCCCTTCATGAAGCTCATGGGCATCCATCTTCCAGAAAGTAAAGCCACTCTGCCAGAGAAGAATCTCCTGCCCCTCCTCCAGCTTCCCAACATTTCAGGGGTCCCCATCAGTTCCCTTCTCTAGACCCACTCTCCTCCTGTTCAAAACCTGGGTTCAGAAGGCCTTGAATTTGATGGATGTGGGCCTTTACTGTGATACATGAATTCTGAGTACCTTTCCCTCAGGGCTCAAAATACTTCCAGGCCAGACCCTATTTTTGCCACATGTCTTTGAAGAAAAATTGTACAAGAAAAAATGAGGCAGAGGAGCTCAAATATTGGGTCCAGAGGTTAGATCCAATCTCTTTGAACTGGCCCAGGATTTTCAGCCATCTTGCAACAAAATGATCCAGGATGTAATTCCTCCCACCTTTATGTTGATGTCTTCATCTGCAAAGAAGCTAAAAGTGAAAAATGTGAGGGTTGGTTAGATCCTGAAGTTGATCTGTCCTAGAGAGTGTTCATGAGTGTTACAAAGGTAAAGAAAACAAAAACCGTGAGAAAGAGCAAAGGAAGAAGCTCAAAGATGATCCAAAAATGGTCTTCAAAAAATGATGAGCAGTATATTGCATCTTCTACAAAGACAAAACAAGAGAAGAGGAATCAAAGAGAGGCTTGATGGATTTAGATTAGGTTAGGTTAGGTTACCCTACAAATGGAGATGGCTAAAGAAAAAAATAGAGTCTATTTCTTTGGAAGTCTAGAAAATCTGTCCAGGGTATGTCCAACCCTACTAAAGAAGTGGTCACGGGATGATCACATGACCTCTAAAAGTCCTTAACAACCCTGGCATTTTATGTTTTTGTTCTCCTTAAATCTGGATGCTTTGCAGGATTTGGAGAACTTCTTGAAGACAGGGATTATTTCCTCTCTTAGCTCTTTTATTCCTCACATACCGGGTTAAAAGCCACCAACCCTTCTTGAGGGCCCTCCAGGGAGACAGGCACACAGGAGATTGACAGGGGCATTGGTTCAAGTCCAGCTTAACAGTTCCCCATTCCCTCACTGCTGTGGTCAAGGGCAAGTCGCTTAACCTCACAACGCCTCACTTTCCTCATCTTCAACAGAGGTTATGTGGCAATGCATAAGAAGCAAGGTTTTGAGGTTTCAGATAATGTATACAAACTTGGCACATAATAGGTACTCAAAATGTAATTATGTTTAATTTGCTATTTGCTGGGGCAAAATAGGAGGCCCTGGAGCTACAGAGCAGAATCTGCCCTTATTCGGTCTGGAAGCTTCAGCCTGGGGCAGAGGAGATGACCAGGAAAGGGGGATTTTCCTTGGAAACCTATCACTACAGGCCTCCTCTTAGACCTGGGATGAGGCATGGGAGTGAAATATGGTTCTTAGGCAAACTGGTGAGGCATGCCAGATTTCTTAATGCCAGACAAACATCCAGGAAATCAAAGGATATGCATCCATTTGAGCAAGTGTTGGTTTATTACCTTATGTCATAGGCATTTACAAAACAAAATAGAGACGTGCAGGGGGATTCTGAGCAGGCTGACAGACAAGTGCATACGATAAGCCAGGTGCACTGGCAACGTGGGATGGGGTCTCCCCGCAGAAGCAGCAAAGAGCATCTGTTCAGATAGCAAGATTTCCCCAGACAGGACAACCACACTGCCCCTAAGTTCTCTCCGCCTGTGCCACCTCCACCCCCGCTTCCCATACATCTAAGGTCCACGTTCAGCAGCAGCACCTTCCACGTGGAGGGGTGGTTTTCCCATCGCATGTCCCCTGGTCGGCCACCTAGATAGAAAAGGACGAGGGAGGCTTCTGCTAGCTCGCCTCCGCTGGGCTGACTGGCTCACCCTGCCACTGTGGGTCCTCAGGCTCTTCCTCCTCTTCCCCTGGGGGCCTGGGGACCACACTCTGGCTCTCTTCTTTGCATTAGACCCTCGAGGCATCTTCCTGCTGCTTGTGGGAGAAGCCAGCTTCTTGGAGGAGCCTTTCCGAGATGAGGCCCGGTCTGGACTGGAAGCTAAAGTTGCACTGGAGAATCTTCTAGCACCTTTCTTGGATTGTTCCTTTAGTAAGTCCAAGACTGTCTCTGCGAAACAAGCATTTCTTTAGTGAGACATGTTAAGTCCTGGAAACTAGCTCTAGTTAAAGCACCACCTACAGGAAACCTACGACTGCATGAGGGTTCTTTAATATAAGTTCTTTTGAAATTAATATTTTTTAATTCCCTTAACTGGCCTTGATCTAAATACACCACTTTTTTAATAGGGTCACTCCAGTGATACATGGCTCTGGAATACTTCCCTTAAGATGGTATCCCACTCCTAAAGTCTTTCCTGACTCCCCACCCTACCCCAAGGGAGAGATCCTCACTCTAGAGGCCTTCTCAGGCCCCCAAACATCCTTCTATACCAGAACCTCGGAGCTGTATTTATTTCTTTATTGGCCTGCATTACCTACCCCTCTCTCATTTGACTCTGAACTCGTTCAGGTCAGATTCACTGCTGTATCCCCAGGGATCAGCACAGTGACTGCTACAAAGTCAATACTAAATGAATGATGCCAAATGAATGAATGAATACATCATAGTTGATTGAATGAATGAATAGAGGACAACAGGTCACAGGGGAAGCAGGTTGCCCCACTCACTCTGGCATGCAGAGGACATGTACAGACTGAGCCACAGTTACAGCCCACATCCAGAGGATAAGCTTAGGTGAGAAACAAAGACCTCCCACCCCAGGAGCACTGCTTGCAGAGGGCACTGTGCCTGCGCCTCAACACCAAAGCCTGAGCCTAAGACAGAGATGGACTCACTGGCGAGTGGCCTGAATTGGACCCGCTTACTCTTGGTTTTCACCGGCACCGGCTTGTATTTGCACTTTCCTGGGGGTGCTCGCCTGAAAACAGATAGAAAAAGTGAGGACACAAGACTCCGAAGATGGAACCAGGAAATCAAGTTCGCCAGAAGGTGTACATTCGCAAGAATTGGGTTCAGCCCTCCCTTATCCATGGGGATGGGACAGATGTAGTGGGAAATATGTGATGAGCTCAGATGGAGAGGATAAATGACATGAGCAACACAGGGACATGGTGGGCCCTTGGGAGACAGTGTAGGGAGGGGGTTAGGGGCATGGGCGTGGTGACAGACAGAACTGGGTCCAAATCCCGGGGACCATGAGCAAGTAAACCTTGCTAAGTTTCAATTTCCACACCTATAAGATAGAAAAAGTAATACTACCCAAGCTTGCAGGGAGATGGTGAGGATTAAATGACAGCTATGTACTTGGCACACCATAAGTGATTGATAAATCACTTTAAATAAATTTTTTAATGAGATTAAAAAAAAGCACTTGGAACAGTGCCCAGCACATAACAAGTGCTGCACAGATGATGATGATGATGATGATATGATGATGATAATGATGTTGATAGTGTTGATGATATGATGATGATGATGATGATGATGATGATGTTGATGATGTTAATGATGACATGATGATGATGATATGATGATATGATGATGATGATGATAATGATGATGAGATGATGATGATGTTGATGTTGATGATGATGATGATGATGATGATGTGATGATGATGTGATGATGATGATGATGATGATGAGATGATGATGATGATGGTGGTGGTGGTGATTCCTTTTCAAGAGAATCCCTTCAAGAACTTATGGCACAGCCCCTCACATAATGCCAGCCTCTCTGCCTCCTAGTATAGTAATTCTTATACTGCTGTCCCGTGGGTGCATCTTCCGAAATAAAAGGGACCTTGGAGACCAAGAGCACTCCCACTATTCAGAGCAGAGCTGTAACTTTCCAGCCAGTCCCCACTGCCCCCTTCTCTGCATTGCTCCAACTTTGTCTCTTGTTGCTGTCATACCCATCCCAGGTGAAAAAAAAAGCAATTTCACTTATTTAATGAACACTTTTATAGTGCTTAGGCACCGTACTAATGCTTTATAAATACAACTCACTGAATCCTCACCCTAACCCTATGAGGTAGGTGCTATTGTTATCCCCATTTTTCAGAGGGGAAACTGAGGCACACAAAGGTTAAGAAACAGATGCAAGGTCACACAGCTAGTCGGTGGCAAGGCCAAGATTCAAACCCAGGCTCCAGGGTCTACGACTATAAAGGAAGGGCAGGAGGAAAAGATGGAAGGGGAAAACAATCATACATAAATAAATGGATTGCTCCTCAGAATGCTGGGATGGGTGCGTTTAGCGGAAAGACAGGGTGGATGAGTAGGCAGAGCAGAATCTGGATCCACTGCTACAGAAGCTGAAAGAAAGTCTGTACAATTCAACATAATTATAACTAAATGAATGGGTGGTGCTGAAATGATTTGACCCACAAAGAGAACTGAGTTCCTGTCCTCGGCCCTCTCTTACTAGCTGTACCTCAGGCAAGTGATTTAACTGATCTAGGCTCAGTTACCTTATCTGTAGGTTGAGGGTGCTAACCTGCCTCCCTAGGATTATGTCAGCATTAAATGAGAGGCTGCATGTGCCCTAGCACAGTGCCTGGTCCACAGCAAGAACTCAATCCATGTCAACTTGAGAGAACAATGAATGAGTAAGGATGACTTCAGTGTGGAACAGGCTTTACAGATGCTTTATGATTGACCTCTCACGGCTGCTCCTGTGACAGAGGGGAGCTAAATTATCCCGCAACCAAATCAGGAAAGGAAAAGGGATTCAGGCAGGAAACATGTTATTGGAAAGAACAGAACACCCCACTCAGGCGTTACCAGCAACTTGAAGCACGTTAAAGACTGTGGATTTGCTCCACCCCTAAGCACAAGAGATAGACCCAGTAGTGGAGACAGCCCAGTACCTACTTCACCCCTTGATGATCCTGTACCAGCTATCAGGACAGCACCCCAGGCACAGCCTCAGGGACTGAGCCTCTTCCAGGAACTTCTGAGAACACCTAAACCCAGAGCCCTGTTGCCAAATGGAGCTGAGCTGGGCCTGGCTCCTGAGCCCTGAGCAGCAACTGGACCTATTTGCCAAGTGTCTTCTGAACACCACTCCAGATATGGGGAATGTAAGCCTAGTAGGTAGTTTTCCTCCACTGGTCTATCTTCAAGCTGATTCGTGGGGAGACTGTCTTGCTTTGAGATAAAGCCAGTGCACAGCCTAGAGCCCTCAAGATAGATACACAGCATCATCCTCCCAGATGCAGGTACCAATCACACACTCAACAACCTCACAGATGGGAAGCTGTACAGTATCGTGGCTTTTGCCTGATCAGTGGGAGGTTGGTCAGCCTCTGAGAGAGGTGGGCAGAGAAGCAGAAGTAAACAGCATAGAGTCCACTAAGTGAACAAATACTGCCGCTGAATTCCAGAAACGGTCAGGTGGAGAAACCTGACAGTTTAAGATATTTGCCAAAGACCTTGAGACCTCTACCAAACCCAGGCGACTGGGTAGCAATACTTACTCAGGTGGTCAGAGGTGTACACCCATTGTCAGATGATCCCAGACAGAAGTTTCCAGAAGCATATTAAAAAAACAAAAACAAAACAGGAGCCACAGGTCCAGACTAGTCATCCTAGAAAGGCTCAAAATCCTCATTTCCAGCCACAAAGTGACCATCTCCCAAATATTCCATAATTCCTGTAGAGGCATAGTCTTACACTTTTTTTTTTTTTTTTTTGCCCAATCTGCTTTTCATCTAAAGCAAAGATTTGCTTCATTGACAATTTCTGGTAATTCTTGGGGAGTGAGGACTGTTTTTATGACCTGCCGTGAAAAGAAGGACTGATAAAAATGCACCTGAGAAGAAAATAAGACCAAATCTCACCTTGATGGGTCAACAAATTTGTAAATAGATCCGTGTGGGGTGTAGGCACTTGGGTAAGAGGTGGCCAAGAAATAGAGCTCCCCTGAAAAACAGAAACAGGCAGTCAATAACAGGACATGAGGGAGGGCTGAAACCCAGAGCCGCATACACCAAAATCACCCACATGTGGTTATGGCCCCGAAATGCAGTGAGTCCTCCCCAAATCCTGATTGACAGCTAGGCCTTCACTGGACTGTGAGCTCCTTAAGGAGAAAGTCCATCTTTGAGCCCCCAAAGACTAGCTCAGAGTGTGGCCCAGCAGAGGCACATTTCTGTTGATGTTCATTGAAGCCAACTGGCCTGTCCTTTATCATCTCTTTGCTCTCAGAAACTTCACCTCAATGAACCTCCATTTCCTTCCCCAACACTTTACTAGCGAAAAGGATCCTCTGTGAAACACTGAAATAGGCCATTGACAGGGGGCGGTGCCTTGGCAACAGCCTTCCTGGCTTCAGGGCTGCTCTTGGGCAGAGTCTGGCTTGGAAACACCTTGGCAAGTCCACTCCATAAAATTCAGCCAAGGACACTTAGTTTTGTTTGCCAGATGACTGGTATCCCAAAACTGCCTGTTTTCTCCCTCAAGAAGTCCAGAGGCACAAAAAAACAAACCAACAGAGCCAGGGTTTCTGAGGTGCATTTATTAGTCACTTTCTATGACCCCTTCCATAGTCCGTTATTTCCTCCTGCCCCCCACATCACTCTCCTCGATTTCCACCTTCTTCAGTCCTGGGGTTCCTTAGTTCCTGTGACCCTCCCCACTCTTCAGACTCTCCTCTTGGTCTTCTCCACACCCCACAGAAATCGCCTCCACCCACTCTCTCCTTCACCTCTTTTAGGAGGGGCCCCCGTTTCCTCCCAGTTCCTCCTGTTTGAACTCCAGAAAACCTCATTCTTTTCTCACAGTAACTACCTCATTCCACCTCATTTTGCAGTGACCAGGGAGGGACAGTATAGTATAGAGCTTATGAGCCCAACTTCAGAGTTAGGTAAATCTGAGTTTGAACTCTGATAACACCAGTTCCTATCTGTGTTGTCCTGGGTGACCTCTCAAGGTGTAACCTTCATGTTGTTTATTCATTTGTAAAATGGGGATAATAATACTCACATGATTATTAGGTCTTCAACTGAAAGTGTTCCGTAATCAGTAGTTACTCTTACTTTGTTATCTCTCTATGCTTAAGGGCTGGTGCTGTGACAGTTTTGTGAACCTGGCGTGATGTTTGTGCCATTGCACCGAATTTAATTCACTTGCTGCTGTGTGCTCTACACATGCTCTCTCTCAACTTTATGGAAGGAAACATCTACCAAATTGCAAACTGGAGAAGCCTGAAGCTTTAGACAGCTCTGGTTATTTAAACAATCTTCTTTGAACTTGTGGGGAACAATGACCAATGTTTGTCTCATGCTGAGTGTGAGGCTCATGGTCTTTGCAGAGCCCCACACACAGGGTAACAGCTGCCTGACAAAGTTTGCTTTTGTGTACAGTGGTCCCCCCTTTATCCACAGGGGATACATTCCAAGACCCCCAGTGGGTGCCTGAAACTGCAGACAGTACCGAACCCTATATACACTATGTTTTTTCCTATACATACATACCTATGACAAAGTTTAATTTATAAATTAGGCACAGTAAGAGATTAACAACAATAACTAATAATAAAATAGAACACTTATAACAATATTAACAATATACTATAATAAAAGTTACTGTAGATCTTAGCAACCTCAGTACACAATTTTTTTTCTTTCTTTCTTAAGTCAAGAACTTTCATCTTTTCACTTAAAGGAAGCACTTGACAGCTTCTCTTTGGCGTATCCGAATTGCCAACATCACTCCTTTTGTGCTTCGGGGCCATTATTGAGTAAAATAAGGGTTATTTGAACACAAGCACTGTGATACCATGACAGTGGACCTAATAACCGAGGGGGCTAATAAGTGACTAATGGGCGGGTAGTGTATACAGTGTGGATCCCTGGACAAAGGGATGATTCACATCCCGGGAGGGATGGAGCTAGACTGTGCAAGATTTTGTCACACTACTCAGAATGGCATGTAATTTAAAACTTATGAATTGTTTATTTCTGGAATTTTCCATTTAATATTTTTAGACCATGGATAAAAGAGCACAACTGTATCCTGACAAACTATATTTACAATCTTCCCCTAATAAGGGGTCTGAGGAGTTAGGACACACCCTATTCTAGAGCCAATTTGCACCCTCTGATTGGAAACTCCAGGCACCATTAGAGCTGATTCAACCATTAGATAAATGAGGTGTATGCTAAGTGTCTGCATGTACACAGGTCACCCTTGTACAGGGGCCACAGCAACCACAGCAAAGAATTCCTGGTCTAAAAGGAGAATTGAAAACCCTGCATTGCTGCATATTCCCTACACATGACTACACTTTATGTAAATTGTACATCCTAAACATGCCATAGACTTCCCATTGTATTTTTAGGGGAAAACAATGCAAGAAATGAATTTCATCTGTAGTGTTCAACTGACATTTTTAAAAATATATTTTAAGGCAAAACACACACACAGACATACACACACACCCAAAAACGATAATCTGCCATGTAAAACAAAATGCATGCAATGTGAATTTACTGCCAAGTATTATTACTTCGAGCAGCCCTCTTGAGAATGTGCTTCAGTAACTGACATTCAGAAATCCAACCCATCAGAACCCAGTAATGGGCAGCCCCACACCCACCACTCTCTCTGCAGTCATTTATTTACACCAGCTGTCAGCTAGAAGAACTCAGGAGATGAGCTGTAGCAATAGTGGAGGCAGAGTTCTCCGGTGCAATTAAAAATGACTTATCTAACACTGGTGACTGGTAATAAAATAATGAAATCATACTCAGATCTAATATGTCTGTAAGTGGAAAAGACTATGACACAAACAGAAAATCTGAACCACTCTGTGCAGAAATACAAAAGCAAGCAACTCTGGAAGAAAATAACTTGCCTTGGGGACAGCCTTCCTGGCTTCAGGGCTGCTCTTGGGCAGAGTCTGGCTTGGGAACACCTTGGCAAGTCCACTCCATAAAATTCAGCCAAAGACACTTAGTTTTGCTTGCCAGATGACTGGTATTCCAAAACTGCCTGTTTTCTCCCGCAAGAAGTCCACAGGCACAAAAAAACAAACCAACAGAGCCAGGGTTTCTGTGGTGGAGAGAAGCAAGCCACAGAAGAAGCCCAGGGACCCTGGGCAGCCCTGCCTCCAGGGGGCTCCAGCCTCCTTGGGGCAGCAGTCTCTGGGAGCTCCAGCAGGGGTGAGGCCCCACCAGGCCTGTGGCTCTCACATCATCCACTTTCCACTGAGCATCATCCTGCCAAATGTGGTTCTCTCCTTTTTTACATGTTTGGACTTTGAATTTGGAACTCATAGAGACTTTTCCCTATGAAGAATAGTTGAATTTTCCAAAATACCCTCTGCTCCTCTAAAATAGTCATCTCAAACTGTCTATTCATAAGCTAGCTAAGAGGAAAGCATCCAGGAGCTGGCTGGATTTCTTTAAGGCCTACTCAAAGGTCTTGTACAGTACCCCCCATGGCTCAGAGTGGAAAGAAACCAAATATGTAGGAAATCTTTGAGGTTCTGGTTTACACTTATAGAGAATCCTAGGTCTGGAGGAGACCCTGAGAGGTCAACCCTGAGAGGTCAGTTTATTCTCTTCCTTGCCTCCAAGCGTGGCCAGATGCAGTGCCCAATACTGAAAAGATGGCAGGCCCTTTCCTCACTTAACATAAAACAAAATAAATTTTATCTTTCGAAAACATAAAAGGTAAAGCTGAAATTAAAAATCCACTTTCTGATTATAAAATTTTGAGAAATTTATTAGAGCTGTCTCTCTCTCTCTCTCTCTCTCTCTCTCGTATGTACACACATGCCTTTTTTTTGCTCCGTTCTGAGTAGCGTGATAAAATCTCGCACAGTCCCGCTCTGTCCCACGTGGACGTGAATGGCTTTAACATACGCCTAATCTGTCTAGTAAGTAGTCTCCCGCTGTCTACACTTTTCTCAGATCTCTTAAGAAAGAAAGTCTCCCTTGTTCATTCACAGCCATTGGAACCCTTGGCAGGGTCAGGAAAGAGCCCAATCCAGCTAGTGGCTGATCATCAGAGGTGCTCTCTCCCAGGCAACACCAGCAGGATAAATACCCACCATCCATTTGGTCTGCCCCACTACTGGCCCTGTCCACGTTCCTATAATTGCAGACTAGAATAAAATCAGGAAGGAGGGGGCACATGCACCTCCCTCATACCCAAAGGATTGAAAAGACCCAAGTGTAGACATTGATTGAAAAGACCCAAGTGTAGACCACAATGAGGTAAGCAGCTCAACCAAGAGGGGTAGATTGGCATATTCAATCTGTTTCCTCATTGGTGAAATGAGCATAATAATTACGTCATGGGGGTGTTGTGATTACTTAGAACAGTATCCAGTACATTATAAAAGGTGACTAAATGATAGTGAAAATAGAAGTGGTAGTTGCTATTTAAATAACAATAATAATGATAATAAATGTTCAGTTCACAATGTCTGTGATTATCTAAGTTCCAGTAAGCAGAAACAGAATAACTTTGTATGTTTGTTACCTGCTTCATCTTCAGCAAAGGAGATGATAAACTTGCTGTAGGTGCTGATCAGCCCTGGGAAGGCACAAGACTCAGTGTTGCCCAGGCAAATGTCTTGTTTCTTCCATTTCTTGGTTTTTCTATCTTCCTGCAAAGCCATAAGTCGACTAGATGAAAAATAAAACCTTACATTTTAGGAATCCATATTTCCACCTTGCAGGATATTTTTCTTCCTAGAATCAGGGAATCCTAGAGTACTAGGACTGGCTCTCCCATAGGAGATTAATAACTACCCTCTTCCAAGAATCGAAAAAGCTGCTTCAGCGGTACCTCAGTCACCCACTTGTCCCAGACAGCTAAGTTCATTTTCTATTATAAGAGGAGTTTGATGCCCTGTGAAGGTTGCACCACTATAAAAGACTAATATAATTTTTATTATTTGTGTGACCTTTGGCTATTTGCTCAGCATCTCTAAGTTTCAGTTTTCTCATCTGTAAAATGGGGAATGGTAATAGAATTTACCATGGGAGAGACTTGCGAAAGTTAAATAAAATGATATACATAAATACATCACATGTGCCTAGCATAGAATGAGGGCTCTAAAACCCACAGCTATTATTATTATTATGTCCGTATAGAAGCAGATAGATGCTTCATATCCTTCTGTCATCTATCTGAACTAAAGCAGGTTTTTAGAAGAAAAAAGAAAGGAAGTTGGGCAAACCAGAGGTATCACCTGAAAAGTTTTATGGAAACAGAGATGCCCAACTGCAGGTGATTCTAATAAATATGCTTCAATTAAACCCCAGGGATCTAACAAGTGATGATAAAGGAACTGGCCAATTAACAACTCAACCCCATCTCTGTAACCAAGAATTGCAGCATAAAAATATTAACATCCTTTCTAACTAAGATGGGGTAACAGGGACCAGATTTACCATCCTACCTTAAGCAGTCAAAGACCTAGACAAAATAGAATGATAATAGTTTAAAAGACACTGGAGATCAGACAATGGAGGACTGTGTTCCCTAAGATATGGGAAACAAACAAGGTAAGCTGCACAATTGTCCCAGCTTATTACCTCGAGAGAGTTTCCAGCTCAGGGAGGGAAAACAGGCAGAGCCTAAAAGACTCCTTGAGTTGAAAAGACAGAGATGAGAGTCCAGGAAGACTAATGCAGGAAGAGTCTGCAGGACAGATGTTGGAGAGAAGAGAGCTGCACAGAGAATGGACCCCCAAGATCTGGAGAGTGTCTCCCTCAAGTATCCGTCAGCATACTTAACAGCAGATACATGTGAGGAAACTACTGTAAACAAAGGAAAGAATTAGAAAGAAAAGTACCTGGCACTTACTCAGGGTCAGGAACAGTGTGAGCATAATTCACAGGACATTGGGTAGAGTTCTCAGGAAAGTCTTGCCTCAATATTGAGGAATAGATAGCTCTGGAATAAGCACCATATTGGTCCTGCATAACAAATATTAACAGCAAGACTTGAAAGGCTCAAACTATTTCCAAGTGACTTAACTGTGCCCCAGAACAAAGGTCAAGAATATTTATAGGAATACAAAAATATTCAGCACCCACAAAGTCAAATTCACAATGTCTGACATCCAATCTAAAATTACTAGGCAGGTACAGAAGGAGGAAAATAGAACCCATAATAAAGAGAAAAATCAATTAATCAAAACTGACACAGAATTGACATAGGCAGACAAGAACATTAAAACAGTGATTATTACTATATTCCATATGTTCAAAAAGTTAAGTAGAGACACGGGAGATACAAAAGAACCCAAATCAAGTTTCTAGAGATGAAAAATACATCTGAGATTTAAAAAGAACACTGGATGGAATGAATAGCAGATTAGACGTTGCAGAAAAAGAGATTCATGAACTGAAGACATAGCAATAGACTATCCAAAATGAAACACAGAGAAAAAATTTTAAACAAGAATAATCATCAGTAAGCTGTGGGAAAACTTTAAGTGGCCCAATATACATGTAATTGGAGTATCCCAATGAGAGGAGAGAGAGGGAGTGGGGAAATAGAAAAATTATTTGAAAAAATAACAGCCAAAAATTTTCCAGATTTGATGAAATTCATAAACTCACAGATCCAATAAATGCAACCAAATCCAAGGGCAAGAAACATGAAGATAACTACACCAAGGATATCACGATGAAATTGCACAAAACCAATGATAAAGAGAAAACCTTAAAAGCAGCCAGAGAAAAAATGACACATTAAATATGGAGGAACAAATATAAGGATGACCGCAGATTTCTCATTGGAAATGAAGCAAAAGAGAAGAGAGTGAACAACACTTTTAAAGAATTAAAGAAAGAACATGTCAACATAGACTTCTACATTGAGCAAAAATATCTTTAAAAAATGAAGGAAAAATAAAGATGCAAGAGTGGAAAGAATTCATCACCAGTAGACCTATTTTTCAAAAAATGTTAAAGGAAGCTCTTCAAGCAAAAGAAATGATATCAGAAGGAAATAATGCATCTACACAAAGGAATGAAGAGTATTGGGAATGGTTGTATTCATTTCTTATTGCCACTGTAATGCATTACCACAACTTGGTGGCTTGAAACAACATACATTTATTCTCTTACAGTTTTGGAGGCCAAAATTTTGCAATGGGTTCCACTAGGCCAAAATCAAGGTGTTGGCAGGGCTGTGCTCCCATCAGAGGCTCTAGAGGACAACCTGTTTCCTTGCCTTTTCTGGCTTCTGGAGGTTGTCTTCATTTCTCGGCTCATGGTTCCATATCACATTGCCTTCTCTCACTGCTTCCATTGTCACATTGCCTTCTATCTCTTCTGTCTTCAAATTTCCCTCTACTTCCTTCTTCTAAGGATACTTGTGATTACATTTAGGACCCACCTAGATAATCCAGGACAATCTCCCAAATCATATACAGTATGTTTTGTGACCACAATCAAACTAATTAGAAATCAAACTAAATAGCAGAAAGATCTTCGGAAATCTTCAGATATTTGGAAACCAAAGAACATACTTCAAAATAACTCATGCAGCAAAGAAATTAAAAGAGAAATTAGAAAATGTTTTTAACTAAATGAAAATGAAAACACAATATGTCAAAATTTATGGGATGCTGTTAAAGTAGTACTTGAGGGGAAATTTATAGCACTAAACATATATATTATAAAAGATAACAGGTCTCAAATCAATGACCTCAGCTTCCAACTTGAGAAACTAGAAATAGAAGAGCAAATTAAACCCAAAGCAAAAAGGAAGGAAAAAGAGTATAAATCAATGAAATAGAAAATAGAAAAATAATAGGAAAAAAGTCAGTGAATCCAAAAGCTAGTTTTTGAGAAGATCAATAAGGTTGATAAACCTCTAGCCAGACTGATAAGAAAAAAAAGAAAGAGAGAGAGAGAAGACACAAAGTACCAATATCTGGAATAAGAAAAGTGACATCACTATAGTTCCCACAGTTATTAAAAGGATAATAAGGGAATAATATGAACAACTTGATGCCAATAAATTTGACAACTTACATAAACTGGACAAATTCCTTGAAAGATACGGACTACCATGGCTCACTTAGAAAGAAAGAAATAAACCGAATAGCCTATAACTATTAAAGAAATCGAATTTGTAGTTAAAAGTCCCCATAAGGAAAATTTCAGAGGCTTTCTGGTTTCCAGCCCAGCATGTAAGAAGCTTGGAAGTCACCACTTCATAATGAGAAATCAACAACTCTTCTTAGATCTGTAAGAGAAGCAAGGTCACAGGGCAAACCACTGCCACCAAAATTGGAGAGACAGACAGACAGATACAGAGAATCACAACTTACAGAAAAGCATGAGCAGAAACCCACAGGGGAATCAGTGCCATGGCTGGAAAACCTAAACTGTAGTTGACAAATTGCTGGAAGCTCAGTGTGGACAAGTCTGAGAGTTAAAAGCTCCAGGGGGTGCCCAGTCATAGGGATCCCCACACTTCTGTGACTTTCACCTCCACGAGCTGGACCAGGTTCCCACAGTAAATATCAGAGAAAAATCCCCTCTTGCTTCCCTCTAGAGGAGGGGGACAGGAACCATTTTGGAATATGCCAGTGCTTTCTGTTCTTGTTAACAAGCGTCTGCCCTCAGAAGAGACTATTTAACTAGAGACTAACCTGCTGGGATTTTATCAGAGCCTAATGGGCTTGGAGAAGGAAAATACCCAACTCTAGCCCACTCAGGCCACCCTGCCCCACCTAAGTGCGTATGGGTGGGGGGAGAATAACCGAAAAACACTTGTGAAGCTCACAGTCCAGAGGCACAGGCTCACTAAAAGACTGAGACCTAATCATAGGACTATAGAACACTTCCCCTGCCCCCACACTTCACCACCATGTTACCGAAGTCCTAATTACAGCAGTTCCTTTTACCCGGTATATTATGCCTGGCAATCAAGAAAAAATACAAGGCATACTGAAAGGCAAAAAACACAGTTTGAAGAGACAAAGCAAGCATCACAACCAGACTCAGACATGACAGGGATGTTGGAATTATCATACCGGGAATTTAAAACAACTATGATTAATATGCTAAGGGCTCTAACGGATAAAGTAGACAGCATGCAAGAACAGGTGAGCAATGGAAGCAGAGAGATGTATATTCTAAGAACCAAAAAGAAATGCTAGAGATCAAAAACACTGTAACAGAAATGAAGAATGCCTTTCATGGACTTATTAGTAGACTGAACATGGCTGAAGAAAGAATTTCTGAGCTTGAGGATATCTCAGTAGAAACCTCCAAAACTGAAAAGTAAAGAGAACAAAGACAGAAAAAAAACCCAAAATATCCAAGAACTGTGAGACAACTACAAAAGGTGTCACATAAGCATAATGCAAATATTAAAAGGAGGAGAAAAAGAGAAAAGAGCAGAACTATTTTAAACAATAATTACTGAGAATTTCCCTAAATTGTCAGATACTAAACCACAGACCCAGGAAGCTCAGAGAATATCAAGTGGGATAAATGATTAAAAAACTCACACAGAGGCATATCATATTCAAACTACAGAAAATCAAAGATAAAGAAAAAAATCTCAGGGGTGGGCCCAGTGGTGCAATTGGTTAAGTGCGCATGCCCTGCTGCGGTGGCCCAGGGTTTGCCGGTTCGGATCCCGGGTGCACACCGACGCACCACTTGTCAAGCCATGCTGTGGCAGCGTCCCGTATAAAGTGGAGGAAGATGAGCACGGATGTTAGCCCAGAGCCAGTCTTCTTCAGCAAAAAGAGGAGGATTGGAGATGTTAGCTCAGGGCCAATCTTCCCCA